GTCTGCACTGTAGGAGTAGCCACACAGTGCTCATTAAACTCCTAAAGTCCTCTCCCAGCTTGCATGGGTTCTGTGTAAAAACCAGGGCCTCAGTCCTGCAAACACTTATGCATGCAAATATTTTTAAGCATCTGAGCAATCAGGCAGTATGCAGTGGCGCTCCTCACGTGTTAGTATCTGCAGGCTCAGGGCTTAGGATGGATCCTCTGAGGCTGGTCTGTACCTTGGTTGGCCCAAAGCCCTGGACAGGAATCTGGAGGCAGTAACCCAGGTACATAGATACTGCCCGCGTGTCTCACTGTCCACACACCCACGCGCCCTACCCCCACCCCGATTTTAATAACTGTTTCCGAGTGGTGTAAATGAGGCCACAGGGCTTGTTTTATCACCGGTTCATGTGCTGTTGTTGCAAGGCAGGCATGGATCACACACACAATGCAGCCCCTCCCCAGCCCACCAGCCCGGGGCTCACATAGTGAGCTGTTTGCTAGTATTCCACCTTAAAAACCAAAAAGGAAGAACACATGAGGTGCTTTCCTTTCACTGTGGTGGTTTGCCGTCTCCGATCGATTCTCTGACATTATCCAAAGACTAGGCTCGCCGCCTTTCTAAAAGCTTCTCTCCAAAATAAAGATTCATTTAATTCCCCCTGTTACTGCCAGGACTTGAGTTTAAAGCACTCCCATTACGAGAGCTAAACCAGTACTGATTTCAGCTCAGGCTGATTTCAGTTGATTGGATCCCACACGCCTCCTTACTCCTGGCAGATTGGTCTGAATTCCAGGGCCTCAGCACAATGGTTACCAATGCCTAGAACAGGGAGTGAAGAGCCAGGCTTGCCTACACAGGAACATTATTCGAGTATAAGCTAAGGTGTGCACCCTGCTCAATGGTATCAGAGGCCTTTATTCACTTTAGCTGATGTCACTTGGGAAGGAGTGTAAGCTAAACTGAAAAAAAGCCAATCTTATACCAGAATAAGGTGTCCACACAGAGGCTATACTGGTACAGCTAGATTGGTTTAACTTCAGAGTAACTAGTAAAATGTTCCTGTGTAGACAAGCCCACAGGCTGTTGCTCTGAAGAGATCATCGTCTGAGGCCAGTGAAGTCTGAATGGAAAGTGCGAATGATAAACAACTCATTAATCCTTGGCAATGTTTCACAGCTGATGGGAAGCCAAATCCCTATGTTCTCTTTCCTGTCACATGTCTGCCTTGCCTGGAGCGCCCCCTGCCCCCTTTGGCCTAGATTGGTCTGCCCGTACCTTGGCAATTACGGTCCCTGCTCCCACCTCCCTCACTTGTTTCTTTCACTCACCACGTCCCATATTAACACTTTCCCTGGTGTCTCCTATCCAGCTCCAGCCTCAGGCCTTGTAGCCAATTATTTCATTTAATAGAGGTGTTGTTGTGGTTAAGTATAATTAAGTCAGGTGTGATGGAGAGGTTTACGTAGGACACTATTGTAGGAGTATAACATTAGGTATATCAGTAAGTATTGCAAGGCCTAGAGGATGAAGCCTGTCAAATTTCAGTTTAGCCATGTTAGGTCTCAGGCCTATGAAGGGTTGACATAAGTGACCCAGGAATAACTGTGGATCAGTAAAGGTACAAGATTCCTGTGAAGAATGTGCCCATGGGTGATGTTCAGAAAAATATGCCACAATGTCTAGACTGCAAGATATTAATGTAACATCATGGGAACTTTTGCAGGAACCTCAGGTCACCATGGGGATGTGTTTACATAGATGCATAATGGAAATAAAGTAGGGTTGCCAAGCCTCCAGGGTTGGCCTAGAGTCTCCAAGAATTAAAATTAATCTTTAATTAAAGATTATGTCATGTGATGAAATCTCCAGGAATACATCCAACCAAAATTGGCAACCCTAGAATAAGGGGAACTAAGAGGGTAACCTGTGGAAAGCAAGGCACCCCAACCTTTATGGGGTGCAGAAGTACAGATAAGGAAAAGGGGGTTGGAATTCTTGTACATATGCATAAGGTGGTGGGTTTGGTTATAACCCAGGATAAAAGGGTTTCCTGCCCTGGTATGGATAAGGTGGGAAGGCCCCATCAGGAGACTCCCCCCCGCCCCCTCCCCCAAAGGATGGCTACCTGTTGAGAGAGCCGTGAAGCTCTCTGATATCGCTGGGTACGTGAGTATGAACACGCTGCTGGATATTGCACGGGTTCGCTTGGTGTTGTTTGTGATTGTGACATTGATTGTCTGTGGAGTGGAACTTGTAGTAAAGACACAATAGCTCACTTGTAGTGTGTTTGTGGTTGCTGTGTTCGTTCTTCATCTGCTCCTAGAACCTTCAGGGAAGTCTCACCCCGCTGATTGTAAAACTGGAGCAGCCTGGGGACAGACTTGCTCTCTAGGGACAGTGCACTTTAACACAGAACTATTAAGATGCCAACTCAAACTGAAATAGGGCAACAGCCTCAAGCCATTGTTCCTTACTTTGCCCTCTCCAGAGGCTTGGAATAATCCCCCTCCTTTATTTAGATTGGATGATGGTGGGTATTTGTCAAGAAAGACCCCACACCAGCCCAGCAGCCCCGCTCCCCCAAAACCTCCATGCCAGCCCGGGAGACTGTGACCCAGCGATCTCTTAGTGCCACCTGACAGAGGGCACGGAGTGCCTAAGGGTTAGAGGGATACCCTGGGTCTGGGATCTGCGTACTAGTTCACTCATGAATGTCATGTCTACTGAAAGCTTGTGTCACACTGATCATCACCATCATTGCAAGACGTATACAGGAAAACTATGTGAGGAGTTATGTGTATAGTGTAAAAACGGTGCTCGGTAGGACTGTGTATTAAGGCAGGTCACCAAAGGGTGATGCACATGCTTCTCCCAGGCAGGGGGCAGAGACGCTTCTCTCTTTGGCTGGCCACGGGCAAACGGAATATTGTATAGTTCTCAACAGATGCCCATCTATAGTCGGAGCCAAATGTGAATCAGTCAATTGCTGGAGCTGCAGGAAAATATTAAACCAGCAGGGGGTAGCCTGTTTAGGAGTTAACATGATGAACGTTTGAAACTATATCTGGGGAACAGAGGAATCCCCAAGGATTCCCTGAGGAAGTGACCTGACAGTGGGATTTGCTTCAGGACAGAGGGACAGCCAGGTTTGGCTGAACATGCTGGGAAGAAAGTTGGGTGAGAGAAACTTCTCTAGGTATGAGGATAACTTGGGCGGTAAGTTTAGGTCTAGTAAGCACGTGGTGATTTTATTTTCTATGTAACCATTTATTTCCAATAGTCTTACTTGGTATCATTTGAATTTCTGTCCTTTGATAACAAACTTACTCTTGCTTTCACTAGAAATATGGCTAAGTGCTGTGTGCTGAGCGGATCTGTGGAAAGGTAAAACTTGTAAGCTGTGGTGCACTGTTCCTTTGGGAACAGTGGGCTGGGTAATCCTGGGGATAGGGGCCTGCGACACTACAGGGGACACGTGGAGGACCCAGAGGCTAATGTGTGCCTATCGCTAACCTGTACAGAGAAAGCCGAGCCCACAGCAGCCAAGGGGGAATGTTTATGTTGCTAGTAACTGAGTGTCATGGAACTGAGCCCGGGCAGCTACAGACAAGGCTCCCTCATGCTAAGGGCAGGTGGTAGCGAGGTGCCTCACAAAGATGGGTTCTCCTGGGCAGCATCACAGAGACCTGCTCCTCCCGCAATCCCTCCTGCCATCCCAGAAGACTCTCTCTTTTCCCCCCAACCCCTCACACCAGCCTGGGACACCAACTCCCCCAAACATCCCCCTGACCTGGGAGACGCTCTCCTCCCCCAGCCCCTCAAATCTGCCCCTGCACCCACTCCCCTCCCTGAATTCCTCACCCCAGCCTGGGGGACCTGCACCCCTCCCTCAGCCCCTCAAACCAGCCCAGGCACATGCTCCCCCCTCTCAATCTCTCACACCAACCCAGGGCACCCGCTCTCCTCCCCAGGCCTCCTGCCAGATTGGGAGAGCTGCTCCATTCCCTCCATATCAGCCTGGGGGGAATTTTTACCTCGGGAAAGTGACCTATCCCTAAGTGAAGTGAAAACGCTGTAACCAGTCCCTGGGTGCAGGGGGAGGTTCAGGGAATCAGATAGAGGGGGATGCATAACAGTCAGAGCAGTCTCTGCCCTAGCCAGAATGAGGTGTTGCTGGGAATGAGACACAGGCAAACCCATTGGGTTTACCAGTCTCTGGCCCAGCCTCCTCATTAGTGCCTTTCTGGGGTTGGGTTCGCCGGGATGTTCTTTCCCTGTGCAGAACATCCCACTCTCTTAGTACCGAAGAGGATTCGTGGCTGTGATACTGGGGGAGCGATCATCCCCCCCTGGGAGAGCTGGGCAAATAACTGGTTTCTTTAGTCATCTACCAATTCCGAAAAATCAGATCACATATTAGTTCTGGGTCAAGTTGATAACTAAATTCCCAAAATTTTCCACAAATCAAAGAGTTCACTTGGTGTCGAACTAAGCATTTTGTCTGACCCAAAATGGAACATTTAACTTTGGTTTTGAGCTTTTTTTTTTTTTAACATTTAAAAAAAATAATAAAATGGAAGGAAACGTCTCATGGAAACAGAATGTTTTGAATCAAAAGAAATGCTTTGGTCAGAAAATGTTGAAATGAAACGTTTGGAGTTTTGGGGGATTTTGGGGGAATTCAGGAAGAGTTTGCGAAATATCTTGGTTGAGCCAAATCTATAGTTTTCAGCAACAACGTGTAAGTGGAGAAATGCCCCCAGCTCTATGTCAGGGCGCTGTGGGGTGGTTTTTAATGTAATGTGAGGAACAAACTCCATGAAAATGACGTGGAGTCTTAGAATACATTGTCTTTATAACACAGACAGTCTCCCTTTGCCCAGGAGCTCAGAGCCAGGAGGACGGAGAGCACCGAAGTACAGTCTGCAGCATCCATGGGAGACCTTTTCCTTTCCTGTCTCAGCTGGCCAAGCCTTCCCTTGGCAGAACAGGGGCAGCTGGTGTTTCCCTTACACGTCCTTGACCACAACTATCATTGATCGGCTTTGGATGTCCTTCTTTCTCACCTCTGCCCAGATATCGGAGAGGTCCTGGATGAACTGCTGGATCTGGGTAGAGAAGAGAGATGGCAGGGCTGGAGGTTTAGGACTGCTTGGAATGGCTTTTGCAGCGTGAATAGCAGGTGTTTGGCTCCTCTGAAAGGCACATTTCCCATGGCTTTAAATTGGTCTGCAGAGGAGGAGGACTGGACATTTGCATCCCCAGCTCAGAGCAAGTGGGATGGCTCTTTGGGGGCCAGTCTTTGAGGGCAGGGAGCCAGCTAATGGAAGCGTGGAGTGATGGCCCAGATACACAAGGGATTTGTAGCCAGTTCAGTCACCCGCGGTCCCAATTCATCCAGCCTTCTGCCTCCACAAATAGACCCTCCCTCTCCTGCCCTGGCCCCTCTCTGGGGCGAGAGGGGGCAAGGATCAACTCAGACACCATGCTCATTTATTGCTGGTGTACACCCCCCTCTGCTCTGCCAACAGCACCCCAGCTCTGTCCTAAAGAGTCCCCTCCAGGGTGGGGTGAGGTGCCTGATACACTCTGTTTTCTCCAGGCCTCTCCTGCACCTGGGGCAGGTGCTGCTCTCCTTCCCTGATCTGGGGGTGAGGGGTAGGCATCAGCCTGGCTGTACCATGTCCAGCTGCTTGTGGGTGTCCTCCACGGGCACGCTCAAGGTCTCCTTCAGTTGCTTGCTCACACTCTGGAAGAGGTTCAGGGTGGCCATCTTGATGGTGCCCAGCATGAGGGTTTTCTTGGCGGCTGTGTTCTGAATGTGGGCCCAGCGAGACTCCTGCGGAGAGAGGAGAGGACGGCAGAGAGCATGGAAATAAGCTGCTCAGCAGAGAGGGTGGCAAAGCACTGGAGATACCAACTTGATAGCGGCCCATCTGCCACCTGGGCAGTACCCACCCTCCCCCTGGACACTACACAGCATGGATCTGTCCTTTCACTTCCATTCACACCTGGAAAAGCCTCGGCTCGGGATCATGAGCCATAGCTGGTGATCATCATTACGAGAAATCAGCAGAGTAATGGCAAGTTCCCAGAATGCACCTGCACAAGCAGGTCAGAGTTCACAAGAGTTGGTTTGGGGAGCTAAGTCTAGTGAGCATGATGCAGAGGGAAGAGGTATGGACAGTCTGGGAGCACTGGAAAAGGCGGGGGGAAACTTAAAAAACACCCTGCTAAAGGGGCAGCACATTGTAATGCTGCTGGGAAAGAAAAACAATTCACACCAGCAGCAGCAGCCAGCGTGCCTTCATCAGGGAATGTTCAAAGAGGTAATGATATAAATACTGTATAACAGTACTAGAAATGGGGAAGGAACCAGAACCAAACAATAAGACAGGATGCGTCGCATTTGGAAGGTTTTCTTCACTTTTCTTGTGATTTTAAATGAAAGCTTGGATTGCAGAGCACAATTCTGCGGCCACTTCTAAAACAGGGGGAATTATGCAGCTATTTACGCAGTCGTGTCATCCCATCATTCACAGGGCCCTGGCTACCAACCATGAACCAGGAGGACCATGACAAATATCTGCAAATCTCTGAAGGGTATAAACAGAAAAGAGGGGTGAATCAAGGGGTATAAGGGGTATAATTTGGAGTCATGGATTACAATTGGACAAAGCAAAGGCTGAACAGCTGCAAAACCATAGCCATGCTGAGGTTTCTGAACCCCTGGGATCTTCATCCCAGGGACTGGTGAAAGCCCCAAGACTTGAGGCCTATATAGCTACATTAGACAAAGCCATGGAGGCCCTCCTGTGGGGAACAATCCAGCCCTGGCCCTGGGGGATAGATTGGATATGACCAAATAGGTCTCTCGTATCCCAACAGTCTGGTCTAAATGAGAAAAAATGCACCCACGTCATGCCATTGCTTTATTGTCACCCCCAAGCACCCCCTAGCGTAGATGCAGGGTGACCCTGACTCAGCAAGCTATTCACACCTGTGCCTAACATGAAGCGTGGGCAGAGTCCCACTGGTCCCCGGTTCAGTACTCCAATGAATCAGGGCCTTACGCTGGGTTAGGCCTCTCTTAAATCAGTCTAGCTTCGGTCGCCATGCAGAACCAACTCAGGCGAGACTTAAATTGTGGCAAGGGCAGCGGCATTTGGGGTTTTCCCTGGTGTAGATAGACAGATTTGAAATAGACCGAATGGAACTCTCCTGCTACGCACAAGGGCTAACGTCTATGATTCTGTGACCCACCAGTGCCCTGAAACCCAGGGTCTGTCCTCCTGGCCCAGTGCAGTCACAGATTGAACCCTGGGATGACCCACTGGGTCAGGGGTGAGGCACCTACCCAGCAAACAGGGTGGCAGTATCCTGCTGCCTTGCCAGCCTCCTGTCCCACCACTGCCCAGCAAGCTGGGAGAGTCCCTCTGCCTGTGTCTGCGGGGAGGAAGAGGGCTTCCTCAGGGCACATGTATGGGGAGCCCCCTTACCCAGACGATGACATCACTGCGGGCGTGGTCAAAGCGCATCTGCAGGCGCGCCAGCTGGTTGTTGTGCTGCAGGATCTCGTCGTCCTTCTCCTCCGTGTAGTGCGACAGGCGCATCTTCGCCTGCTCGATCATCTCCAGCCCCTCCTGCGCCGACTGCATGAGGTCCTGGTGCATGCCCACCAGCGTCTTGTACCGGCCAATGACTTCCCGTATCTCCTCAAACTGCAGCACAGTGCACTGGGCGTTACTGCCCCGTAGCCCTGCACGGCACACGGGAGCCTGTCACTGATACCCAGCACTGATACCCAGCCCAGGCAGGGAAGGACATCCCCTCCCCTCTAACAGGGGAGAATAGCACATCTGCCCCAGAGTATCCTTACCACACCAGCGCTCTCCTGTGTCCCAGCTTCGTCATCACCCCTACCCCAGCAAAATATCACACCTCCCCCTGGCCTGAGCCTCCCACACACGCATGGGAGGGCCATGCTCATCCCAGCCTCACCCTCTGTTCCCTTGGCCAAATCCCTGGGGTCCCACCTCCACTTTGCTAAAACCTCTAGTCCCTTCCCTAGGTCCCTGCCACACAGCCCTGCTCCTTTCTCTGGCTCCTTTCTAGCACAAGGGAAACCCATCTCACCTCCTCTACACTCTCTACGCCCAGCTGCAGGGAACCCTGGGCCCTGCCTCATCTCTCCCTGAGACTTTTGCCGCTGCCCATGGTCCCATCTCAGCTCCCCATCTCAGCATGTGGGAGCCCCTAGGGTCCGGGCTCACCTCCGACACCTCGACCACCGTCTCCAGGTACTTGTTGAAGATGGAATACTGCTGCAGCTTGTTGGAGAGCTGCTGGTGCTCCTGTTTTAGGACCTCCATGTCCAGCTTGGCCTTGGCCAGCTCCTTCACCCTCTGTTTCTTCAGCTCTTTCTCCTTGTTGGCTTTCTTCAGGGCCCTGATTCGCTTCAGGTCATTTTCCTAGCAATCCCCCCCGCCACCACCCCAGAAAGGAAACCCCAGACAAGAGATGTGGGAGGTTAGCGATGTGACCACATCATAAGGAGATGCCTCCTATCCAGCCCCACGCCCCTCCAACGTCAGCAGTACTTGGAAAAGGAGAGAGACTATGGCGGCGTGGAGGAGGGGAGGGAAGAAGAACCCTGAATGAGCCATGATCATGCCAATGGACAGCAATCGAGCTAGACAGTCACCAGCAGCTGGCATGGGGTCCCATAGCTTCCACAGCCATTGGCACCTGGTCCTAAGAAGGACTGCAGAGAACACCCTGCTACCAGCACTAAGGGAAGATGTTGGCTGAGACTTTGGGATGGATGCCACTTTAGCTGGGCATGACAAAGCTGGTGTTGAAGGCTCATGGCAACATAGAGCAACTCACCCCTGGCCAGCCCCTCCTGAGACCTTCTCTGGCAGAGATACAGAGTGAAGAGGCTCTGGGGGAGAGGCCCTGGCAGATAACATCATGGCTACTGCCCTGCAATGTTCATTCCTGTTCTATGCTGAGAAGAGAGTTGAGAGGGAGGGAGTCAAGGGTGTGTGCAGGTGTATCATGGAGGAGCCCTCTACACATAATGGGAACAGGCAGCAGTGTTACAGCTCAGGGGTGTGTGCGGGTGTACCACACAGGAGACGTTCACATGGAATGGGAACAGGCGGCAGTGTTACAGCTCAGGGGTGTGTGCGGGTGTACCACACAGGAGACGTTCACATGGAATGGGAACAGGCGGCAGTGTTACAGCTCAGGGGTGTGTGCGGGTGTACCACACAGGAGACGTTCACATGGAATGGGAACAGGAGGCTGTGTTAAGCTCAGGAGGGGGGGGGGGGGTTCCCCCACAGGGCACATTCATGCAAGGGAACAGGAGGAGTTACAACTCAGGGGTGTGTGCGGGTGTACCACACAGGAGACGTTCACATGGAATGGGAACAGGCGGCAGTGTTACAGCTCAGGGGTGTGTGCGGGTGTACCACACAGGAGACGTTCACATGGAATGGGAACAGGAGGCAGTGTTACAGCTCAGGGGTGTGTGCGGGTGTACCACACAGGAGACGTTCACATGGAATGGGAACAGGCGGCTGTGTTAAGCTCAGGAGTGTGTGCGGGTGTACCACACAGGCGACATTCACATGGAATGGGAACAGGAGGCAGTGTTACAGCTCAGGGGTGTGTGCGGGTGTACCACACAGGAGACGTTCACATGGAATGGGAACAGGAGGCAGTGTTACAACTCAGGGGTGTGTGCGGGTGTACCACACAGGCGACGTTCACATGGAATGGGAACAGGCGACTGTGTTACAGCTCAGGGGTGTGTGCGGGTGTACCACACAGGAGACGTTCACATGGAATGGGAACAGGAGGCAGTGTTACAGCTCAGGGGTGTGTGCGGGTGTACCACACAGGCGACGTTCACATGAAATGGGAACAGGCGGCTGTGTTACAGCTCAGGGGTGTGTGCGGGTGTACCACACAGGCGACATTCACATGGAATGGGAACAGGCGGCTGTGTTACAGCTCAGGGGTGTGTGCGGGTGTACCACACAGGCGACATTCACATGGAATGGGAACAGGAGGCAGTGTTACAGCTCAGGGGTGTGTGCGGGTGTACCACACAGGAGACGTTCACATGGAATGGGAACAGGAGGCAGTGTTACAGCTCAGGGGTGTGTGCGGGTGTACCACACAGGAGACGTTCACATGGAATGGGAACAGGAGGCAGTGTTACAGCTCAGGGATGTGTGCGGGTGTACCACACAGGAGACGTTCACATGGAATGGGAACAGGCGGCTGTGTTACAGCTCAGGGGCGTGTTATGTGAGTGCCACTGGACTGGTTGTACCTGTATGAACTGCTCAAATTTCTTTATATAAGCCTTCAGCTGAATCTCCTTGGCCCTGAGCTCCTCCCATCGGTTATTCAGGGCTTCCATCCTCGTCCGGAAAGCCTACAGGGATCATGGAGAAAGGCAAAAGGTGAGCCAGCTGTTCTGACTCAGTGAGCCCCCCTTCCAGTGCCAATAGTCGGTGCTCCCGCACCCTGACCCTCCAAAGCAGGGCCAGAGGCCAGTGGGACAGATTTTGCACTGTGCCTCTCAGGGGTGCCTGAGGAGACTGGACCCAGCAGGAGGTGAAGGGTGTGCAAGAAGCCTAGCTGGTGTTCTTGGTCATAGCAGTCATGGCGGGGCTCCCTCACGCACGCCTCTCTCACCTCCTTCTGAGCCTCCATAGCCCTGTGCACCAGCGTGGCCTCTTTCTTCTTCTCCAGCAGCCGAATGGATGGTGATGGGGATTGCTCCTCCGTCGCTGGGAATTTCCTGCAGCAAAGATACAAAAGCTTTCCCTGTGGGGCTGCCTGTGGCTGCGCCCATGAGCTCAGTGCTGCCTGCCCATCGCAAGGGAGACGGCCTCGCCGTTCGGTCGGCCTGTGCCCTGGGGGCTCTGAGCTACTCGGCTAGGGCTGGGGTGCCATGGCAGAGCACCATGTGTGGATGAAGCCCAGGGCCATGACCATGGAGACTGAATTCTACTTGTGCCCAGGGAGAAAGGCAGGATGGGAGGGAGATCGAGGGATGTGATCGTTCCCCTCTATTCGGCATTGGTGAGGCCTCATCTGGAGTACTGTGTCCAGCTTTAGGCCCCACACTACAAGAAGGATGTGGAAAAATTGGAAAGAGTCCAGCAGAGGGCAACAAAAATTATTAGGGGGCTGGAGTACATGACTTATGAGGAGAGACTGAGGGAACTGGGATTGTTTAGTCTGTAGAAGAGAAGAATGAGGGGGGATTTGATAGCTGCTTTCAACTACCTGAAAGGGGGTTCTGAAGACAATGGATCTAGGCTGTTCTCAGTGATAGCAGATGACAGAACAAGGAGTAATAGTCTCAAGTTGCAGTGGAGGAGGTTTAGGTTGGATATTAGGAAAAACTTTTTCACTAGGAGGGGGTGAAGCACTGGAATGAGTTACCTAGGGAGGTGGTGGAATCTCCTTCCTTACTGGTTTTTAAGGTCAGGCTTGACAGAGCCCTGGCTGGGATGATTTAGTTGTGGATTGGTCCTGCTTTGAGCAGGGGGCTGGACTAGATGACCTCCTGAGGTCCCTTCCAACCCTGATATTCTATGATATTCTATGAGGGGAAAGGTGGAGGGAGGGCAAGGGAAGGTGGGAGAGGGATAGATGGTGGAGAGACAAAAAGGCAGAAGGGATGTGGGAGAAGGACTGGATGTGGGGGAAAGGAGAGAAGGAGGTGGGTGTATGGGACAGAGGAGGGTGGAACAGTGGAAGGCCATAGAAGGCGGGGGATGGATGGGATGGGGAGGGGAGCGTGTTACTCACATCAGCAGCTTCAGGAGCTTCTGCCCATACTGCATGCGGAAATACTCCGACAGGTCCTCTTCCTCCATGGTGGCCATTGTGTCTGCTCCCCCGGCGAGCCCTGCTCTGGCCCCACCTGTGCAGCCTCTCCCTGGGGCTCAGCTCAGCTGCCCTATGTAGGAGTTAGCGGGCTGGCGTGGGACACACCCACAATCCCTGAGCACCTCCCTCCTGCTCTTCCCAAGGTCCTCTCTTCCCTTCCCTCCTTGTCAGAGCCCCCAGCAGACAGAGGCTTGGTGGCTGGCTCCATGTACCGTTGGAATCCATGGAACCCCAGCAGCCAGGGTTGGACAATGCCAGGTGGTTACTTAGCAACCTTAAAGCTCCTGTCCCTTAAGGGGAAATTTGTTCCTATCTGGCTGGGCTGCTGGGAGCCATTGCCCCAGTCTCCAGCTCCACTGCTGCATCCTCCCCTTCCCTTCCACGTCCCCTTTGGGAAGGGAGGAATTGGATGAGCCTCTCGGGAGGTCCAGGTCAGCAGGGCTGAAAGCCCGGTGCACAGCCTGTGCTCCTCCTGCTGGCCCCCGTGCACCGTGTCGCTAAGCCGATTGAGTTGGCAATGGCCATGACATGAGAAAGGGGAGGAAGAGGGAAAGCTGTCAAAGGTTTAGCCATAACATACATGGCATCTTTGTAAAGACGGAGCATTATTGCTGCCAGGGTTCGGGGGACGGCAGGGGGTTCCCTCATGCTGCACAGGTGACAATTCTCCAGGGTCACCTCTCTCTGTGCCCTTTGCAACCATTGCAGTATTCCCAGCAGGAAAGGCAGCTCCTGCGTGTAGGCAGGTGTGTCCAGGAGGAGGTGAGCATCAGATCGTTATAAAATTCAATGTATGTATGTGTATGTTAGTCACAGTTACAAGCCATAGCACCTCAGTCTTTTAGTTGTGGAGGTTCCCAGTTCAATCTGTGTTGGCCAACATGGGGGCAATCACACACACACAGTAGATCTAAGATATTTGCTCAGAACAAAACATAGAGAAGCCCTGTGAAGACTCATGCTGTGATAAATAATAACATCCCAATGAGATCTGAGCCATGCAAATGGAGCATTCTACTCCCTGACCGGAGAACTGTAATCCCCAGGTCCTTTTCTGCGGAACTGCTGCTTAGCCAGTCGGTCCCCAGCCTGTAGCAGTGCATGGGATTCTTCCGTCCTAAGTGCAGGACTCTGCACTTGTCCTTGTTGAACCTCCTCAGATTTCTTTTGGCCCAATCCTCTAATTTGTCAATGTCCCTCTATATCCTATCCCTACCCACCAGCATATCTACCCCTCCTCCCAGTTTAGTGTCATCTACAAACTTGCTCAGGGTACAATCCACGCCATCCTCCGGATCATTAATCTGAGGTATACACTGAGTTTGCCTTGCAAGGTGTATTTACAGCAGCTAAGCTGCAGTTAGTTACATTTGTGCCCTTCTCAGTGCAGCTTGAATGACCTGATCCCTTATATCAACTAGGGAGGTTTCCTGCCCTTCACATGCTGCCCAAAGGAAAGAGGCAGGCTCAGGCTTATTCCTAGTGAATGAACAGAGAACTGGCTTGGATAAACAGTCCTTAGGGATGGATTTCAGGCTTCAGGCTCTCCGAGGTTTGGTTCTCTCTGATACAGGTTGGAGATGGACGTCTCTCCCTGACAGTCTGTTACACTTTGGCCTTGTCTACACTGAAAACTATTGTACCCCTTCCCAGCCAGTGGTGCAGCAATGCAGTTTAAGTGCCAGTGTTCACATGGCTCAGGCATCTTTACTAGAGCTCGGCAAAAAGTTTTGACCAAAACGTTTGTTCAGCAAAAAAATGCAGATTCAGTGACACAGAAATCTCTTGCAAATTTGTGTCAATTTTGCCAAATTGTTTCAACTGAAAAAAAATCCCCCAAATAAAATTCTGAAAAAAATGACACATTTCATTTTGACATTTTCAAAATGACTTTTTGTTTCAAAATGTCCTTTAATTTTATTTACGTTTTTTTAAACATTAAAAAATGTTCAAAGTCAAAACAAAATGATTAATTTGGGGTCGAACCAAACACTTCAATTGACCCAAAATGTTGGTTTTTTACTTTTTGATTTGCCAAAAATGTTGAAACCCAAAATATTTCTTTCAATTGTTCAGAATTGTCTGTGAACCAAAAAATCCATTCTTTGCCCAGCTCTAGTCTTTGCCACCTGAGAGCTCTTTGTCCCCCTCTAGTGGCTAGAGCTCGGGTAGCGGGTTGTGAACCTGCTATTGCCACTCATCTACCAGGCCAGGCCATTCAGCTGAAACAGCAGAGATCTCTGCTTGTACAGCCAGAGGAACTGAGGCCAGTCCTCAGGGCCATCCTTTGGATTTATGGGGCCCTACACAGTATTATTAAACTGGTGCCCCTATTCCCGACGGTAGCCTGGGCTTGCAGCCCGGGGCGGGAAGGGATGAGGCAGCAAGGGTACCGAGTCACCCAGCCCACCTCACGGTGGCGGAGAGTCACAGTTCCCCGCAGAGATCCCCGTACCTTCTGCCTCATGCAGAATGCGCCACACCAGCGCATTTGGTTCTGTGAATACAGCCCCTGCCTAAGGAGACTGCAGCACACGCTGGGTGTGTGGAAGCCGACCTGCTCTTACCTGCTGTCATGGGCGGCGGGTGAAGCTGCCGTTTGGGGAGGCTATAGGGTGACCAGATAGCAAGTGTAAAAAATCGTGATGGGGGGTGGGGTGTAATAGGTGCCTGTATAAGAAAAAGCCCCCAAAATTGGGACTGTTCCTATAAAATCAGGACAGCTGGTGACCCTAGGAGGCTAGCTCCCCAGCCAACCTCTTCCACCTGTGGCCCCGCCCATATTCCACCCCTAGTCTGCCCAGGCCCCACCCTCTCCCCACGGTCTCCCTCCTCTTCCCTCCCACTCCCTAGTCCCTGATAACCCCTTCCAGCCAAATCCCTGAGCCCAAATGAAGCAAATGATATTAGAAAGAAATTGCAGAAGAGTGGTTTTTTTAAAAAAAAAAAATAATGGAGCATGTTTTACACTCCATGCCAGATGGTAAAGACTGGACATGCAGAAGGTAAGGAGTAATGGTCTCAAGTTGCAGTGGGGGAGATTTAGGTTGGATATTAGGAAAAACTTTTTCACTAGGAGGGTGGTGAAACACTGGAATGCATTACCTAGGGAGGTGGTGGAATCTCCTTCCTTAGAAGTTTTTAAGGTCAGGCTTGACAAAGCCCTGGCTGGGATGATTTAATGGGGGATCGGTCCTGCTTTGAGCAGGGGGTTGGACTAGATGGCCTCCTGAGGTCCCTTCCAACCCTGATATTCTATGATTCTATGATTCTAAGGTACCTAATTAAAAGCACTAAATTTGGGAATAAAAAATGTCAGTCACGGGGATTTTGATATACCCTGAAGTTTGTCAGAAATTTATTTGCAAAAACTTTGTAGTAAGGGCAAGTCAGCTGTCCTGCTGAATACAACATTAAATATTATGAAATACATGATGCAGCTCTTCTCTGTTTTACATTTTCTTAATCAGTATTTCTACGCTGATTTTATATTTTAAATGTACTCTTAAGCCTTCATAAAGTAATCATTCCAGATTACTACATATGTAACTCACTGAAACAAAGACATTATTGTAATCAGTCACAGAGGTTTAGTGTGTTCATAACAATATTCATTGCTTTTAGAAAAAGGGAATATTAATTTACTTTGTGTGATCTCCACAACAATAGACATGTTTATGAAATTTCATCAACTTTAAAAAAATGTTTCCAAAGATTTTAGGCATAACAAAGGATTTTACATCTTACTAAGGTACTGATTTTGCTAGAGGGTTCTCTTAAAACTAGTTCATCAAATAGTCAGAAGTAAAGAAAGGGAAACTCGTTTGTCCAGCTATCTGGAACGAAAAGGGTGTTGTCCCTTTAAGGACTCTCTTCAACAGGGGGCTGAAGGGAGAAAGGGATGGACAGAAAGGACAGGAAGACTTTGGAAGCAAGTTTTTTGCACTACAGTAATTAAAATTAAAATGTGTATTTTAGATAAGGGTGGTCTTTTGAAGGATTTGTTTAAAAAATTATATGTCTGAAGATCCAAGCATTTAAGGCTAAAGATGAATACTCAAATTGTGCATCTAAAATATGCAAGGATTTTTTAGCGATGTGATTTTATAGTCTTCAGCAACACACTAATGAAACATTTTAAAGCAAATTTTAAACTAAGGTCCTGTAGACTAACATGTTCTGAGTAAATATTACAGTAATGCACAATTGGTTTTGTCAGTAAATTCAGAAACTGACAGTATATACCTAGGTTTCAGAGTAGCAGCCATGTTAGTCTGTATTCACAAAAAAAAAAGGAGGACTTGTGGACCTTAGAGACTAACAAATTTATTTGCGCATAAGCTTTCGTGAGCTACCGCTCACTTCATCGGATGCATTCAGTATATACATAGGAGTTGGCAAATGCCTGTGAAATGGCTTCATTACCACTTGAAAGGCTCTTTAACAGTTTCAATGTTGTGCTAATAGGTCTGGCGGGTTGGAAGGCTTTTTCATTTTTAAGTTACTAGATCCCCTCCTGAGGAAGACTCCCCAGGCTGCAGCAGCTAGCTGTGGGAGCCTGCAGGAAGGGTCAGAACAGGGATAGGAAGAGGTGGGAGGGTGGACACTAAGAACCAGTTGGAGAACACTTCAGTCTCTCTGGTCACTCGATTACAGACCTAAAAGTGGCAATTCTTCAACAAAAAAACTTCAAAAACAGACTCCACCGAGAGACTGCTGAATTGGAATTAATTTGCAAACTGGATACAATTAACTTAGGCTTGAATAGAGACTGGGAGTGGATGGGTCATTACACAAAGTAAAACTATTTCTCCATGTTTATCCCCCATCCCCAACCCCCAACTGTTCCTCAGACGTTCTTGTCAACTGCTGGAAACGGCCCACCTTGATTATCACTACAAAAGGTTCCCCTTTCCCCTCCCTCCCCCCCCCTCGCTCTCCTGCTGGTAATAGCTCACCTTAAGTGATCACTCTGGTTACAGTGTGTATGGTAACA